CAGCCGCCGCACCGTGGACCGCACGAGCGCGGCCGGCCGGTGTCCCCAGCGCGCCCACAGGTACAGGTAGCACAGCGTGATGAGCATGGCCGGCGCCGGGCCGGACGCTCGTCCAACGCGGCCAGCCGCGCGGCCTGGACACGCCCCTGTACCGGGACACGCCCCTCGAGTCACGCCCCTTCAGCAGGGCCCCGCCCCCAATCGGAGCCGCGCCCCCTCACGCCACGCCACGCCCCGGCCGGAAGAGACGCACCGCAGGGAGCCTGCCGGGGGAGGCGGGGCGAGAGCGAGTGTGTGCGTGTGCGCATGTGCTTGACGCCGAGCGGCGGCGCGGGATAGAGAAGGGATGTGGAAGCTGGGCGTGGTGGTGCACGCCTGTACTCCCAGCACTCAGGAGGCTGAGGCAGGAGGATCGTTGCGAGTTCGAGGCCAGCCTGAGCTACAAAGTGAGCTCAAGGTCAGCCTGAACTGCATAGCGAGACCCTGTCTCAAAAAGACCAAAAAAAAAAAAAAAGAAAAAGTGATGTGGAGTGGTGGCGGGATGTGGTGGAGGGGAAGGAGGCCGTAGGGAGATGAGGGGTGTGTGTCTGTGTGTGATGGAGAAGAAAGGCGGGAGTGGGGTTCGTGCATCTGTGAGTGATGGAGGCAGGGGGCCTCTGTGACTGGAGGCGGGGGTAGAGAGGCTGGACAGGAGTGGAGCTGGGGATGCGGCCAGAGGGTGGGGATGCGAGGGAGGCTGCGCTGAGCAGGGGCAGGGCTGGGCGGTGTGATGAGGGTCGTGCGGGTCAGGGAGACCCAGGCTACTCCGCGGAAGGGTGAGGAGCTGGCGGAGGCCGCAGAGGGCTGGCGGAAGGAGAGAGTGGAAGGGACTGGGGGGAGGCGGGGAGGAGATGCTCTTGGGATGCAGGAGTATCGTGATTGGCAGTTTGGGCTGAGGTAGCCCGGTGGCTTCCTGACCTGATCGAGTCACGCAGGCTGCCCGCCTTGGGCGTGGAGACAGGTGAGGAAGGGCCTGAGCCTGTGTTTGTAACCTACATGGGCAACGTGTGCTCTCCAGCACCTCCAGAGGCTGAGGGTTAGGCGGGAGCTCACACAGCCTCTGTCCAGTCCAGTTGGGGCTGGTTATAAGGTGAATTACAGAAATCCACACAGCAACTGCCCTGTTAAAATAAAGGTAGGGGACACAAGTTGAACGTAGATCAGCACCCAGAAACACTGTGGGTCTGGTGACCCACGTGTGAGTCACCAGTTCGACTCTGAACATCCTGAGACCAGCGGTGAGGGAACCTCAGTTACAATCCAGTGGTCCTACCCCCGCCCCCGCGCGCGTAATTATTCCTGCCCCTGCTGGTTTCTTCCGTGGACCCTTAATTCTTTAAAGGCTGTCTTAAACAATAGCATCCTTGACACCTCTAAAACCTCACAACGGCTTCCTCAGGCTGCTTGGGATCTCACCAGACCCACAGTCAGGTTCCCCACTCCTGAGTCTTCATCCAAGGATAGATTTTCCAAGTGCCCTAGTCATTTATCCACCTGCTTTAACACAGGGTGTAGAATATCCATTCAGCCCACCCCAGAGTTCTGGTCGGATGGTGTGCTAAACTCTCCATTGGATGGTATGCTAAACTCCATATATACAGTAGCAAAAAGAAGTTCAGGAAGAGACAGTGCCCAAATAACTGGACTTAAAAACAAGGTCAGCGTCACTGTGGGCCAGAAATGGAGGAGACAGTAAGTGATGAGCAAGAATGAAGTCCTATCTTGCTCACCCATCTAGGACAGTGGCAGCGGGGAAATGGGGACCTGTATGGTGACCAGAACTGACTGACACCGGACTCGGCCCCTCCACGATGACCAGAGATTCAGGAATTAGCGAAAGAAAAGCACTTCCCAAAGGGATAACTCCTAAATGTTTCACTGAACACTTAGCTTTTAAGCAAGCTTCAAGAAAATCGATGCACCCTGAGACCACAATGCTAAGTGAAATAAATCAGACACACACTTAAATAGCACCTGGCTTCTCTTATATGAGAAACCCAAGGTAAAAAAATAAATCAAAGAGCGAAATAGAAGATAATGGAAACAGGAAGAACTTTTGCAAAAGGTAAGGGCACCAAGGGGCAGAGGGAAGGGGCTATAAACAGAAGAGTTGTGTACATGGGCCAACTCCCCACCAGTTATATACTATAAACATGTACTAATAAAAAAATTTTTAAATTTAAAGACAGAATCGTTCTCCTCACCCTCACTAGAGGTGGACAGGTCATCTTGCCCCGCCTGAATGTCACCAGCATCTCCAGTTTTTTCAGGTTCTTTAAAGGTTTCACAACCTCACCTTCCCATAGACGCTGCCACTCCACCTGGTCCATGGGACCTGCCCAGGTTTACCCTCGGGTGTTTCAGATGTTATGGTCACAAGATACACCGTGGGAAAACATTTTGGGATCAACTCTGTACACCAGCTCCAGGCTGTAAAGAATGAAGACCACCACGCTTCACCAGGAGCTGAGAACAAGTGGGCTCCCTTCCTGACGCTTGCATTCCGTACCAAGCACTGATCTCATTCTCACCTGGGAAGGGGAGATGGGAGGAAGGAGGAAGGACGGAAGATGTGGAGGGTGGGAGAGGACAAGCAGTCACACCACGAGCTCTTTGTGATCCCTACCTGGAATGGTCTTGGTGCATTTTTCAAAAGGTCGGGGGTAGAGCTCAGCCTCATCTTCCCCAGATAGCAAAGGAAAGGGGAAGGAATCAAACAAGACATGCAGAGGTCTCTGCACGAGCACACCTGACTCGTAGGTACTCAGTGTGGTCCTACACTAGCAGAAGCGGCAGGCTCCAGCAGGCTCAGTAGAAATGCAAGGTCCTGGGTCTTACCAGACCGGAATTCACATCTGCACTGTAACCGGATCCCCAGGAGACTCCCAAATGCAGCAAAGCTCTGTCATTGCCTAAGTCCTGGTGGCTCTAGAGTCTAACTAAACATTTCCACACTGTTACGGAAACTGGGCACAGGCTAGGACTTTGCCAGTGAGAATCTGTCACTTCCAATAAGGAAGAGGAGCGCTCTGGTCAGCCGCAGAAGACACCAAGTGACTGGCTGTCAGAAAGTCACATCCCCTGCCCTGGGCAAAGCATGCCCTGGAAATGAAGCTTTGGGTACACGGGCAGTGTTGGCCCAAAGACTGTCACTGTCCAGGGGAAAGCTATCCCACCACCCATTACATAGATGCTAGCTGCTTCCCCAGGGAACATAACTCAACCCCCTCTGAACTTGGATAGTATTCAGCACTCTGATCAGAGGTCAGAGCTGAGAAAGACATTGTTTTTTGAGCTAAAAATATCCCAGTTTAGTAGAAGTTGAGTAAATCTGGAAATTTAAATATCTGTAAGAGTTTATGCTTAGCAGCTAAAGTACATAGTCTGTGTTTCACAGGTAAAGAAACCCGTCCTCGGGGCTGGGGTTTTAGCTCAGCAGCACAGCGCCTGCCTGGCAAGTGGAAGGTTGTGAGTTCCATTCCCGGTACCAGAAAAAAAACAACAAAAAAAGGAACCCGTCCTCTCCACCAGTGTTGGAGAGCCTATAATCCCAGCACTCAAGAGGCTGAGGCAGGAGGATTGTCACAAGTTCAAGGCCAGCCTGAACTACAGAGTGAGACCCTATCTCAAAAAAACCAAAATATCAGTGGCACAGGCACCTGCCTGGCAAGCATAAGGTCCTGAGTTCAATCAAAAGGCAGTTCAAAAGAAAAAAAAAGGCAGTATTAGCTCAAAAAAACAAAATAAATAAAATGATATTCAGATCCCAGGGTGTCAAGAATGACCATCCATTCAAATAAGTCCCCTCAAAAACATTTTTTAACTAAAATTTGCCAGGAATGATGACATACATGTATGATCCTCAGAAGGCTGAGGCTGGAAGATTGCCACAAGTTCGAGGTCAGCCTGAACTACACACACCCTGTTTTTAAAAATAAATAAAAATTTAAAATGAAATAAAATCAAGAGATATTTGTTGGTAAAACCTATATAATATGAAAAATGTCTATGGTGTGTTCATTAGCCAGAAAGTGCTCATGTGAATATCTGTATATACGTTAAAAGAATTAGTTAAAACAGTTTGTTTTAAACCAAGAACCCTATTTATCCTTGGTTTAAGCTCAAAAGGACAAACTCAGTTGTGGACTGATACAGTATTAGCCATAGGGTAAGACTAGATTAGAGACCTAGACTATAAATAGGATTTGCGGGAGGACACCTTTTTTTTTTTTTTTTTTTGGTGCTGGGAATGGTCCCCAGGGCCTTGTACTAAGCACACTGTCCCACTAAATGACACCCTCAACCTGGAAGTTGTCGTTTTAAGTCTTGCCAGTTAGCTACTGCCCAGGCTCTGTAGAGGTAGAAAACAACCTAGGCCCACTGCCACTCCCCTTGGTAAAAGATTAATTTGAGAATCACAACTTTTTAAAATGTTTTCAAATAGGAAATTTTTTAAATTAAATACCCTTATTCCATCAATGATACCTTTTATGAGGGTAAGAAATACACAGTATTGTTTGATTATATTTTACTTGGTTATCTTTTGGTTATATTTCTAACATTATTTGTTGCACTTGGAAGTATGATATTCATCAAAACACTGAACAAACACTGAGCTTTCAGCACTGTCTCCAAGTAAAAATATAGTAATAATAGAAGAGAGCACGATATGAATTAAGAAGATGCTTTTACAGAGAATTTTAAGATCTGATGTTTAGAGTATTGTTTTTTCTTAGTTATACGGAATTCCAAAATAATGGCTACCTCCCTGATTTCTCTGCAGTAAAAGTTAACATATCTTGTACTAGGTCAAGATAACACTAATTGAGAGAATCGTGAGTTTATTCACTGCAAGTCTTACAACTTTTAAATGAAAATGAATGGACTGAACAGTGTTGAAATGAAACTTACACAGAATATTGTGAACAGAGCAGACTGGTTTCACGGTGACATGACAAGATGGTCAGGCGTGGCGGCCCACACCTGTAATCCCAGCACTCTGGAGGTGGGAGAGGAGGATCGCAGAGAGTTCGAGGCCAGTCTGGGCTACACGGTGAGTTCAAGGCCAGCCTGAACTAATAACAAGATCCTGTCTCAAAGAAAAGAAACGACAAGATGGACCATGCTCTAGGAACTCAGCATCTGGGGTGACATGCAGAGTGAGGAACTGGTTGCCTAATGCTATCACCTTCCAAGAATTTAAAGCTATGAGAATGCCAGGACCCCCATGATAGAAACTGTGGTACTTGATTCACTGTGTTAACTTGAGTCAATAAGGCCCAGCTCAATTGCTCAGTGTAGTTCTGTGAGTGGAACTACATCCACTCACCCTAAGGAGTGGGTGGAACTACATCCAATC